ATTTATTAGGTCTAAGAATTTTTTGTTGGAATCTTTGGGTTTTTCTAGATCTAACATTCTAGATCTGCAAAGTGTAACAATTTGACTTCCTCTTTTTCAATCTGGATGCCTTCTATTTCTTTTTTTGCCTAATTGCTCTGGCTAGGACTTCCAGTTTTCTGTTGAACAGGAATGATGAATAGGAGTAGACATTCTTGTCTTGTTTCAGTTCTTAAAGGAAGGGCTTTCAGCTTTAGCATTCAGTATGATGTCAGCTGTGAGTTTGTCATATATGGCCTTTATTTTATTGAGGTATTTTTCTTTCAACGGCTAGTTTGTGGAGATTTTTTTATTATGAAGAAGTGTTGAATATTATCAAATGCTTTTTCTGTGTCAACTAGGATGATTATATGCTTTTTTCCCTTTATTCTGTTAATATAATCTATCATATTTATTGATTTGTATATTTTCACCATCCTTGAATTCCTTGGATAAATTCTACTTGATCATGGTGCTTTTTTTTTATGTGATGTTGAATTTGGTTTGCTAGTATGTTGTTGACAATTTGTGCATCTATGTTCATCAGGCATATTGGTCTAGAGTTTTCTTTTTTGTTGCATACTTGTCTGATTTTGGTATCAGGGTAATGCTGGCCTTGCAGAATGAGTTAGGGGAAATTTCCTTCCTTCAATTGTTTGGAATAGTTTGAGGAAAATCGGTGTTAGTTCTTTGAAAGCTTGGTAGAATCCAGCAGTCAAGTCATCTGGTCCTTGTCTTTTCTTTTTGGGGAGACATTTTATTACTAATTCAATCTCATTATTCATTATTGGTCTGTTCAGACTTTCTAGTTCTTACTGATTCAGTCTTAGTAGGCTGTATGTGTCCAGGAAATTATCCATTTTTTCTAGATTTTCCAGTTTGTTAGCATATAGTTGATCATAATAGTCTGTGATGATTTTTGGTATTTCTGTAGTATCAGTTGTAATGTCTTCTTTTTCATTTTTGGCTTTGGTTTTTATTTTTTGAGTCTTTTCTCATTTTTTTCTTGGTTATTCTAGCTAGACATTTGTTGACTGTTTGTTTTTTCAAAAAAAAATTTCATGTTTTTGATCTTTTGAATTAGTTTTCTAATCTCAATTTTGTTTAGTCCTGCTCTAATTATTATTATTTCTTTCCATCTGCTAGTTTTGGGTTTGGTTTCTTTATGCTTTTCAAACTCCTTGAGGTGCATCACTGGATTATTTTAGAAACTTTCTTCCTTTTTGATGTAGCCATTTATTGCTATAAATATCCCTTATAGCACTGCTTTTACTGTATCCCATACAGCTTGGTATGCTGGGTTTCAAGACATTTTTCATTTTCATTTGTTTTGAGAATATTTATTTCCTCCTTAATTTCCTCCTTGACCCAGTGGTCATTCAGGAGCAAGTTGTTTAATTTTAAATGTCCAAGTTTCCTCTTGTTATTAAGTTCTAGTTTTATTTTGTTGTGGTTTGAAAAGACAATATGATTTCAATTTATAAAAATTTGTTAAAATTTATTTATGTCGTAGCATATGGTCTATTCTGGAGAATGTTCCATATGTTGATAAGATGAATGTGTATACTATAGCTGTTAAATAAAATGTTCTGTGAGCATAAATGTCTTTTACGTTCCTTTGGTCTAATGTGCAGTTTGAATCTAAAGTTTCTTTGTTGATTTTCTGTCTAGTTGATCTGTCTAATGCTGAAAGTCGGGTGGTAAAGTCCCCAACCATTATTGTGTTGGAGTCTATCTCTCCCTTTAGGTGTAATAAGATTTGAATATAAAATCTTATTATATATATATATATATATATATATATATATATATATATATATAATAAGATAGATATATATATATATATAAGAAGATATATATATATAATAAGATTTACATATCTGGGTGTGCTGGTGTTAGGTGTGTATATTTTAAAAATAGTCATATTATCATGCTGAATTGACCCCTTTATAATTATATAATTACCTTTTTAAAAAATTATTTTTGACTTAAAGTCTGTTTTATATGATATAGGTATAGCTGCTCCTGTTTGCTTTTGGCTTCTGTTTATGTAGAATATTTTGTTTCATCTTTTTACTTTCAACTTTTATCAAGCTTGTCCAATCCACAGTCTGTAGGCTGCATGCAGCCCAGGGTGGCTTTGAATGTGGCCCAACACAAATTTGTAAACTTTCTTAAAACATTATGAGGTTTTATTAAAGCTCATTCACTATAATTAGTGTTAGTGTATTTTATGCATGGTCCAAGACAGTTCTCCTTCCAATGTGGCTTGGGGAAGCCAAAAGGTTGGACACCCCTGCTCTATATGAATCTTTACAGATAAGAATAGTTTATTGAAGGCAGTATGTAGTTGGGTTATGTATTTTTATTCCATTTAACTAGACTGTATCTTTTAAGTGGAAATTTTAATTCATTTACATTCAAGGTTATAATTGATATTGGAAGATTTATTCCTGTCATTTTATTAATTTATTTCTGGTTGTTTGTATATCCCTTGTTCTTTTCTTCTCTCTTTGTTTATCATATGGCTTGGTGGTTTTCTGTATTAGTAACACATGAATCCTTTCTTATCCTTATTTATGTGTTTGCACTACCAGTGGGTTTTAAACATTCGTGTGTTTTCATGATAATAGATATCATCTTTTCACTTTCAGATGTAGCATTTTTGAAAGCATTTATTGTAAGATTGGTCTACTGATGATGAATTTTCTCAGCTATTGCTTATCTTAGAAATATTTTATTTCTTCTTCATTTATAAAGGATAACTTTGCTGGGTATTCAATTATTGGTTGGCATTTTTGGTTTTTATTTCCAACACTTTGAATATATCATCTCATTCTTTTCTGGCCTGTAAGGTTTCTGCTGAAAAACCGCTATTAGTCTGATGAAATTTCCTTTATAAACAACTCGATATTTTTCCCCTGCTGTTTTTAGAATTCTCTTTGTCTTTAACATTTGATAGTTTGATTATGATATACTGTGGAAAAGACCTTTTTGTAGTATATCTGTTTGGGCATCTCTAACCTTTCCGAATCTGGATGTCTAAATCTCTTGCTAGATTTGTGAAGTTTTCAGCCATTATTTTGTTAAATAGTTTTTTAAACTCCTTCATTTATCTTGCCTTCTTGGACAACAATCGTTTGGATATTTGGTTGCTTTAAGATGTCCCATATGTCACATATACTTTATTATTCTTATTAATTTCAAGTTTATTTATTCCTGAACTGGGTTATTTTGAAAGACCTGTCTTCAAGTTCTGATATTCTTTCTTCTGCTTGATCTAGTCTATTATCAAAATGTTTACAAGTATTTTGTTTTTCATTCAATGACTTCTTTGGCTCCAAAATTTCTATTTGGTTCTTTTAAAAAATATATCTTGCTCTTTGGTAAATATTTCTTTCATATGCTAAATTATTTGTATTGTTTTCCTGTATTCTCTGGTATCTCACTGAACTTTAATATCATTATTTTGAATTCTTTATTTATGATTTTATAAAGTTCTTTTTAATTTAAATCTATTGCTGGAGTATTATTGTATTCCTTTGGAGGTGTCATATCTTGTTTTTTTAATGTTTTTGTGTCTTTACATTGATATCCACACATCTTGTCTAATGAGAGCTTATTTCAATTTTTTGAATTAGCTTTTCTAAGGGAGGACTGAAGATATATCTATCATGTTGGTTAGGTCATACACTTTGGCTTTGATACTGGGTGCATACCGTAGTATAGTCTCCATATAATTTATTTTGCTGTACATAGCATTAGTGCTGTTTGTGATTTCCTTGGTAGATTAGGCTATTGCATCCTTCTTATTTTCTCTCTTATTTGTTATCAGGGTCAGTGGGGAAGTTTTGCTGAAATGGGGATGCCAGATGGGCCTGTCCTTGGACTCCAGTTGTGGCAGTAGTGACCTGAACATGACTGTTCTTGGGCTCCAGGATAGCAACACTGGCACCAGTGTTAGAGGGTGCACACAGGTTTGGGCCTCCTGGAGACTTACTCAGGTGCTGGCAGTGGCAGCAGTGGGCCAAGTAGGTGGGCTGGTTTAGGCCTCTGAGCAGTAAGTGTGGTATGGGAGACGGTAGTAAGCAGTGATGGGACTAACATCTGGGTCCCACGTGGTTCACACTGGTGTTAGCAGTGGCTGTGACAAGTTGCATGAATTAGTCACCAGGCCTGCAGGTGGGTGCTTGCAGTGGTGGTGGTAGCAGGTTGGGTGAGCCTGACCTAGGATCCTTGGAGGAGTTCTCTGGTTCCAATGTTAATTGCCTGGGCTGCATGTTCCCCAGACCTCCAGAAGGCGTGTTCAGGCATTGCAGGGGCAGAGTTTGGCTGGGAAGACCTTTCTGCAAGCCTTCTGGTGGTGCGTGCAGACACTGGCTGTGGTATGCTTGGGCAGGGCAATACCTAGGACCAGAGTGTAATGCTTGGGTGGGGATGGCAATGGCTGTGCTGTAGCCTTGTTACTGAGGAGGGAAGAGTTGCTTTCAGTGGCAGCAACCAAATGCAGGCAGCTGGGGAGTAAGCACTTTACAAGTGTTTTGGCCCCAGTTGTGGCAGCTTGAAATGGCAGCTACTGTGAGAAGGGACGTTTGTCCCTGGAGCCCGTGAAAATAAACTGCAGCTTTTCTACTGGAGGCATTGTGGCCTTTGCAAATGGCTTATGCTTCAGTCATGGAGGTAGCAGTCAACTATGGTAGTGGCTGCTATTGGGAAATACCAATGAGGCTCTAGAAATGTGGACGTGCATGGTCTGTTGGACCCCCAGACAAGATGCAATCTTTTGGGATCTGGTCTGTCAATATGGTGCTTTGTTGTGGATGTTTAGGGCTCAGGGTGTGTGTGAGACTCAGTTTGAGCTTTCTCTTCAGATCTGTCCCCAGGCGCTCCCTATGTCAGTCTGGGGACCCATGAGGGTTTAGAGGCTTTCCTGTGGCTAGCATACAAAAGTCCATAGTGTGAATGTGAACTACAGGAGTAACTCACTTACTCTTTCCCTACACTGGGGAGCCTTTGTAGGCTCCCAGCTGATCCTGGCTAAGCAGGCTAGCTTGTTCTTCTCTTTATCTTTACTTTAAGTGTTTCCTGTCACTTTTCTGTTAAAAGTCTAATGTGTTCTCTCCCAGATTATCTGTTTGAAGTGTGTTTATCTATTTTGAACAGTATTTTTGTCAAAGCCATTCAACAAGCACTATTTTGGTTCTTCTTTGTGGAGGAGGCAAGTGCTAGATGCCTCTAGTTAGCCATCTTGAAGCCCCTCTGTATACTTCTTTGTGTAAGCCACAGAATCTATAGTATGCCATCAATGAATAAGTGATTTTCATGTTAGAACTCCTAAATGCGATGAGATCTCATTATAATGGAGTGGTCAAATCAAATTTGACCATTTTAACAACTAGCAATAATATTCGAAATAAGTGGAAATGAGAAAGGCTTAAGCTCAGGAGGCCAGTGGAATAGGTTATTTATTTGGTAACATGTTTATAGAAAAAAAAAGACTCTTGAAGTTTCCTAAGGAAAATGAAACATAATCAGGTTTAGATAGAATAGCATAGTCCACAAATAAAGGTAAATCAGGGATTTCTTGCTTGTAGGACACACACAAAAAAGAATGCTACTGTATTAGTCAGTTTTCACACTGTTGATAGACATACCTGAGACTGGGAAGAAAAAGAGGTTTAATTGAATTTACAGTTCCACCTATCTTGGGAGGCCTCAGAATCATGGTGGGAGGTGAAAGACATTTCTTACATGGTGGTGGAAAGAGAAAATGAGAAGGATAGCAAGTAGAAACCCCTGATAAACATAACAAGAGTTACCTTTGCTCCAATTCCCAAGTTCCTGATCTCCATCTGAGACCACCTAGACCTGGATTTCATTTTCCATGTCATTATTAGTATTTTTGTCAAAGCCATTCAACAAGTCTCTGGGAAGTTCCAAACTTTCCAACATTTCTTGTCTTTTTCTGAGCTCTCCAAACTGTTCAAACCCTGCTTAGTATCCACTACCAAAGTTGCTTCCACATTTTTGGGTATTTTTCCAGCAATGCTCCACTCTACTGGTACCAGTTTACTGTATTAGTTTGTTTTCACACTGCTGATAAAGACATACCGAAGCCTGGGAGGAAAAAAAAAATGTTTAATTGGACTTACAGTCTCACGTGGCTGGGGAGGCCTTAGAATTATGGTTGGAGGTGAAAGGCACTTCTTACATTGAGGTGGCAAGAGAAAATAAGAAAGATACAAAATCAGAAACCCCTGATATACCATCAGATCTCATGAGACTTATTTACTACCATGAGAACAGGATGGGAGAAACTATCCCCATGATTCAAATGATCTCCTACCAGGTCCCTCCCACAACACATGGGAATTATGGGAGTACAATTCAAGATGAGATTTGGGTGGGGACACAGAGCCAAACTATATCGACTACTGAAAAAAAAGGAAAGTAAACATGAGTGGAAGAAACTGGACTCTGGAATGTCATGTTCACATGCTGTTGAGACTTGATTTAAAGTGGAAAGCAAAAAATATAGTTTTGTAAAGCTAGTACAAATATTAAGCATATATATATTAATTTTGGTGTTTGTAGAGAGGATTAGCTGAAATTGGTAGTATTTGGGAAGAATCTTCAGACTATATCATTCTTTATTAATTTATTTGACTAGAGCAATTAAACATCAGTTCTATAAGCACTAACTTCATTTTGTATTTATCAACTTTGATGTATGGTTATTATAAATTTATATTCCATTTTCTTTTTTTATAATCAAATTTTATTTTTTTTTCTATTTATTTTATTGCATTTTAGGTTTTGGGGTACATGTGAAGAACATGCAAGATTGTTGCATAGGTACACACGTCGCAGTGTGATTTGCTGCCTTCCTCCCCATCACCTACATCTGGCATCTCTCCCCTTGCTATCTCTCCCCAGCACCACACCCCCCACCATCCCTCCCCTATTTCCCACCAACTGACCCCAGTGTGTAGTGCTCCCCTCCCTGTGTCCACATGTTCTCATTGTTCAACACCTGCCTATGAGTGAGAACATGTGGTGTTTGATCTTCTGCTCTTCTGTCAGTTTGCTGAGAATGATGGTTTCCAGGTTCATCCATGTCCCTACTAAGGACACAAACTCATCATTTTTGATGGTTGCATAATAATCCATGGTGTATATGTGCCACATTTTCCGTGTCCAGTCTGTAATCGATGGGCATTTGGGTTGGTTCCAGGTCTTTTCTTTTGTAAACAGTGCTGCAATGAACATTCGTGTGCACGTGTCCTTATAGTAGAACGATTTATAATCCTTTGGATATATACCCAGTAATTGGATTGCTGGGTCAAGTGGAATTTCTATTTCTAGGTCCTTGAGGAATCGCCACACTGTCTTCCACAATGGTTGAACTAATTTACACTCCCACCAACAGTGTAAAAGTGTTCCTATTTCTCCACATCCTCTCCAGCATCAGTTGTCTCCAGATTTTTTAATGATTGCCATTCTAACTGGCGTGAGATGGTATCTCAATGTAGTTTTGATTTGCGTTTCTCTAATGACCAGTGATGATGAGCATTTTTTCATATGTTTGTTGGCCTCATGTATGTCTTCTTTTGTAAAGTGTCTGTTCATATCCTTTGCCCACTTTTGAATGGGCTTGTTTGTTTTTTTCTTGTAAATCTGTTTTAGTTCTTTGTAAATTCTGGATATCAGCCCTTTGTCAAATGAGTAAACTGCAAAATTTTTTCCCATTCTGTTGGTTGCCGATTCACTCTAATGACTGTTTCTTTTGCTTTGCAGAAGCTGTGGAGTTTGATTAGGTCCCATTTGCCTATTTTGGCTTTTGTTGTCAATGATTTTGGTGTTTTGGTCATGAAGTCCTTGCCTACACCTATGTCCTGAATGGTTTTGCCTAGATTTTCTTCTAGGATTTTTATGGTGATAGGTCTTATGTTTAAGTCTTTAATCCATCTGGAGTTAATTTTAGTGTAAGGTGTCAGGAAGGGGTCCAGTTTCTGCTTTCTGCACATGGTTAGCCAGTTTTCCCAACACCATTTATTAAACAGGAAATCCTTTCCCCATTGTTTGTTTTTGTCTGGTTTGTCAAAGATCAGATGGCTGTAGATATGTTGTGTTGCCTCCGAGACCTCTGTTCTGTTCCATTGGTCTATATCTCTGTTTTGGTACCAGTACCATGCTGTTTTGATTACTGTAGTCTTGTAGTATAGTTTGAAGTCCAGTAGTGTGATGCCTCCCGCTTTGTTCTTTTTGCTTAGAATTGACTTGGTTATGCGGGCTCTCTTTTGGTTCCATATGAAGTTTAAGGTGTTTTTTTCCAGTTGTTTGAAGAAGGTCATTGGTAGCTTGATGGGGATAGCGTTGAATCTGTAAATTACTTTGGGCAAATATGGCCATTTTCATAATATTGATTCTTCCTAACCATGAACATGGAATGTTTCTCCATCTGTTTGTGTTCTCTCTTATTTCGTTGAGCAGTGGTTTGTAGTTCTCCTTGAAGAGGTCCTTTACATTCCTTGTTAGTTGTATTCCTAGGTATTTTATTCTCTTTGTGGCAATTGTGAATGGCAGTTCATTCTTGATTTGGCTCTCTTTAAGTCTGTTATTGGTGTATAGGAATGCATGTGATTTTTGCAGATTGATTTTTATCCTGATACTTGCTGAAGTTGCTTATCAGTTTCAGGAGATTTGGGGCTGAGACGATGGGGTCTTCTAGATATACAATCATGTCGCCTGCAAATAGAGACAATTTGACTTCCTCCTTTCCTATTTGAATGCCCTTTATTTCTTTTTCTTGCCTGATTGCTGTGGCTAGAACTTCTAGTACTATATTGACTAGGAGTGCTGAGAGAGGGTATCCTTGTCTAGTGCCAGATTTCAAGGGGAATGCTTCCTGTTTTTGCTCATTCAGTATGATGTTGGCTGTTGGTTTGTCGTAAGTAGCTTTTGTTATTTTGAGATATGTTCCGTCAATACCTAGCTTGTTGAGGGTTTTTATCATAAAGGGCTGTTGAATTTTGTCAAAGGCCTTCTCTGCATCAATTGAGATAATCATGTGGTTTTTGTCTTTGGTTCTGTTTATGTGGTGAATTACGTTTATAGACTTGTGTATGTTGAACCAGCTTTGCATCCCCGGAATGAATCCTACTTGATCATGGTGGATAAGCTTTTTGATGTGCTGTTGCAATTGACTTGTCAGTATTTTATTGAAGATTTTTGCATCTATGTTCATCATGGATATTGGCCTGAAGTTTTCTTTTCTTGTTGAGTCTCTGCCGGGTTTTGGAATCAGGATGATGTTGGTNCAGAAGGAATGGTACCAGCTCCTCTTTGTGTGTCTGGTAGAATTCGGCTGTGAACCCATCTGGACCTGTGCTTTTTTTAGGTGGTAAGCTGTTAATTGCTGCCTCAACTTCAGACCTTGTTATGGGTCTGTTCAGGGTTTTGGCTTCTTCCTGGTTTAGGCTTGGGAGGAGGCAAGTGTCCAGGAATTTATCCATTTCTTCCAAGTTTACTAGTTTATGTGCATTGAGTTGTTTGTAATAATCTCTGATGATGGTTTGAATTTCTGTGGAATCTGTGGTGATATCCCCTTTATTGTTTTTTATTGCATCAATTTGGTTTTTCTCTCTTTTCTTTTTTATTAATCTGGCTAGTGGTCTATTTTGTTGATCTTTTGAAAAACAAGCTCCTGGATTTATTGATTTTCTGAAGGGTTTTTTGTGTCTCTATCTCCTTCAGTTCTGCTCTGATATTAGCTATTTCTTGTCATCTGCTAGACTTTGAGATTTTTTGATCTTGCTTCTCTAGCTCTTTCAATTTTGACGATAGGGGGTCAATTTTTGATCTCTCCTTGCTTCTTATGTGGGCACTTATTGCTATATATTTTCCTCTAGAGACTGCTTTAAATGTGTCCCAGAGATTCTGGTATGTTGTGTCTTCATTCTCGTTGGTTTCGAAGAACATCTTTATTTCTGTCTTCATTTCATTGTTTATCCAGTCAACATTCAAGAGCAAGTTGTTCAGTTTCCATTAAGCTGTGCGGTTCTGGGTTAGTTTTTGAATTCTGAGTTCTAACTTGATTGCACTGTGGTCTGAGAGACTGTTATGATTTCCATTCTTTTGCATTTGCTGAGGAGTGATTTACTCCCAATTATGTGGTCAATTTTAGAGTAGGTGTGATGTGGTGCTGAGCAGAATGTATATTCTGTGGATTTGGGGTGGAGAGTTCTGTAAATGTCTATTAGGTTTGCTTGGTCCAGGTCTGAGTTCAAGTCCTGGATGTCCTTGTTAATTTTCTGTCTAGTTGATCTGTCTAATATTGACAGTGGGGTGTTAAAGTCTCCCACTATAATTGTGTGGGAGTCTTAGTCTCTTTGTAAGTCATTAAGAACTTGCCTTATGTATCTGGTTGCTCCTGTATTGGGTGCGTATATATTTAGGATCGTTAGCTCTTCTTGTTGCATTGATCCTTTTACCATTATGTAATGTCCTTCTTTATCTCTTTTGATCTTTCTTGCTTTAAAGTCTAATTTATCAGAGATGAGAATTGCAACTCCTGCTTTTTTTTTGCTCTCCATTTGCTTGGTAAATCTTCCTCCATCCCTTTATTTTGAGCCTTTGTGTATCCTTGCCTGTGAGATGGGTTTCCTGGTTACAGCACACCAATGGGCTTTGGCTTTTTATCCAATTTGCCAGTCTGTGTCTTTTGATTGGGGCATTTAGTCCATTTACATTTAGGGTTAATATTGTTATGTGTGTATTTGATACTGCCATTTTGGTGCTAGCTGGCTGTTTTGCCCATTAGTTGATGCAGATTCTTTATTGTGTTGATTGTCTTTACCATTTGGAATGTTTTTGGAGTGGCTGGTACTGCTTGTTCCTTTTTATGTGTAGAGCCTCTTTCTGGAGCTCTTGTAAAGTTGGTCTGGTGGTGATGAAATCTCTGAGTACTTGCATGTTCACAAAGGATTTTATTTTTCCTTCACTTATGAAGCTTAGTTTGGCTGGATAGGAGATTCTTGGTTGAAACTTCTTTTCTTTAAGGATGTTGAATATTGGCCCCCACTCTCTTCTCGCTTGTAGGGTTTCTGCTGAGAGAT